GTACCACGAGACATGACCTGAGGTAAAAATAACTCATTAAGTATGCAGTTTTTACCTATGTTTATTTCAGGTAAACAGGTGCATGTGATTTACAATAGAAACAAGACATCGATAGACTATAGGGCCACAGACGATAGACTGATACCTATGGCGATTAAGTATGTTCGTTTGATAAACTTGGGACCAGAGACGGCATGCAGATAACCGATGATACTATAGAGTAAAGTTCTTATATTCAGTCTACCCTCTTTATAAACTAAATTTCTGCGAGGAATCATTATAATATTATAGCCAATTTCCTCTTTGCATTGAGTCTTTTTGTAACATGTGGTCTCCACATAGGGTAGACAAAAATTGGTGAATTTCTAATCACAGATGTTATGATAATACAACATTTGATATAGCGCCCTATCTAGCTAACTTAAGCCACTCTAAATCGCTTTACAGTACATAGATATACAATTGTTGAGGAATTCGCAGAAGCTGCCGTATCAGGCGCTAACTACTAGTCCTATGCCACCTTGTTTAATATCTCTATATGTGTGTATACCTGCGTGTTTTGTAGTGGGACGACCGTGTTTCCAACGGGATCTTTTTAGTGCCACCTGCCTTGAATGCTACATCACAGATACCGCAACATCCGCCCCAGACCATTTTATACTCCACCTGGGTTGTTGGAGTTGTGTGGGTAGGAGAAAAACACTTTCTCTAAAGATCCATGCGTACGACGACTTCTGGGATCGAACCCCGGCCGCCTACGTGGAAGGCCGAAGTGTTAACCAGTCGACCAATGCATCGTTATCAAGGTGTTACCATGACCCCCCCCCCCCCCCCCCCCCCCCCCCAAATAAATTGATTCGATACCAGAGTTATCATACTTACCATAATTAAATGGAAAATGAGCTATACATTGTGTACAGTCATTACCGTATGTTGCTGTGCTATTACTAGTAGATAGTCCTCATACTAAAAACGACTTTGGTTACTCATGCAGTGTTGACGTCTTAGTCTGATTGGTAAATCTTTGATCCCCTTTATCGTTTTTTTCGAGCTGTTATCTTCGTGTATTGACGCTGTAAGTTATTTCTATTAACGTAATATGTAAAAACGTTGTTACACTTTTCTACTTACATTATATGTTTGTGTTGAAACTGTTGTGTATTTTCATTACGCTATTTATTGTGCGTGCGTACTCTGTAGAATACTTCTACTTCTCCTTTCAATGAGGCACCGTAATCTTGTGGTAGGACGCTGGGCTATAGGAGGCACGGTAGTCTTGTGTTAGTACGCTGGGCTATAGGAGGCCCGGTAGTCTTGTGTTAGGACGCTGGGCTGTAGGAGGCAGGGTAGTCTGGTGGTAGGACGCTGGGCTAAAGGAGGCACGGTAGTCTTGGGGTAGGACGCTGGGCTATAGCAGGCACGGTAGTCTTGTGGAGGCACGGTAGTCTTGTTGTAGGACGCTGGGCTATAGGCGGAACGGTAGTCTTGTGGTAGGTCGCTGGGCTATAGGAGGCACTGTAGTTTTGTGGAGGCACGGTAGTCTTGTGGTTGGACGCTGGGCTCTAGGAGGCACGGTAGTCTTTTGGTAGGACGCTGGTCTATAGGAGGCACGGTAGTCTTTTGGTAGGACGCTGTGCTATAGGAGGCACGGTAGTCTTGCGGTAGGACGCTGGGCTATATGAGGCACGGTAGTCTTGTGTTAGTACGCTGGGCTATAGGAGGCCCGGTAGTCTTGTGTTAGGACGCTGGGCTATAGGCGGAACGGTAGTCTTGTGGTAGGCCGCTGGGCTATAGGAGGCACTGTAATCTTGTGGTAGGACGCTGGACTATAGGAGGCACGGTAGTCGTGTGGTAGGACGCTGGGCTCTAGGAGGCACGGTAGTCTTATGGTAGTACTCTGGGCTATGGGAGGCACGGTAGGCTTGTGGAAGGACGCTGGGCTATATGAGGCACGGTAGTCTTGTGTTAGTACGCTGGGCTATAGGAGGCCCGGTAGTCTTGTGTTAGGACGCTGGGCTGTAGGAGGGACGGTAGTCTTGTGGTAGGAGGCTGCGCTATAGGAGGCACGGTAGTCTTGTGGTAGGACGCTGGGCTCGTGACCTAAGCTTGTAGATGATTACGTGGTTGGGCAGTGCTAGAATTGTTGAATGTGCAAAGGCCCTATAACCACGGATAATAATTTGTGAACAGCTTTGAGACGACCTACGAACTAGGTTATGATAAAGCGGTATATAAGAAAATCGAATTATAATAATTATTATTAAAACAAATTGTGGCCCTTATTGTGTTTGTGTTAAGTCCATTTTTGATAACAGTATGGACAATTTTGATTTTCTGTGTCCAATTGTCAGATTAAGCTAATATAAGGGTATTATCATCAGACAAAAATACAATAATTTTGATACTTCTCGTAAATTTCGGTTTCAAACATGGAAATTGTATATGCAATGCTATAACTACATTGTCTATTAAAAATCTCATTGTTCCTTTATAGTTTGCAAACAAAAAGGGAGATAACTCCAGTAGAATATTCAATCCTGGAGCTTGGTCGAAAAGAATCAGCAGACAAATATCGAAAGGTTAAATATATATTGACAAGAAAATACTAATGGTTGATGTTAAACATAGCCATTTTCACATGTCTTGCTATTTTTCAGTCACTTAATGACTGAGACAATTTCTTCACCAAGAAAACGTTCCAGTAGCTTATTTTCAAATGCTGATAAAATAGTCTGGAATATATTCTACTTTAGGATAGTTTCGGTTCTTAAAGTAAAACGATGCATCAATTATATCAATGTAATTTTTTCATACCATGTTCATTTAATACTTCACAATATTCTTTAGTGTTGCGATATCTTATATTTTTCAAAATAACAAAAATCACCCAATGCTTTTCCCTTCTATCCATTTAAGATAACTTGTATATAATTTGTCATATAAAGTAAGTTCTTCTTTGAATATATAACCATCATAACGTTGCAAATCTGCAATTGCGCCAAAGGCTGTCGAAAACAAATATACCAGTCGAATTATATGTATATTCTCTTTGCTCTGAAGGTACTTCATGTCACATCTTCAAAAACATGTAACACATATTTTTTGGTTTGTTTTAGTATTGTTTAACGTCCTATCAATAACTATGGCCATTTAAGGACGGCCTCCCCTGTGTGCAAGATGTATGCGTGTAGTGTATGCGTGTGTGTTTTGGGAGGCTGTGATATGTTCGTGTTTGTCTCCTTGTGATAGCGCGGAACTGATGCCGACTTTATAGTGCTACCTCACTGAATCATACTGCCGAAGACACCCAGCAGACCATCCAATCCGGTCACATTATACTGACAACGGGCGAACCGATTGTCCCACTCCTAAATTGTGCTGAGCGTGTAACACATATTGAACTCTTTCAGTATAAACATGGTCATTGTTGATATTATCCAGTTTACTACCAATTATATTAATATAATTGATGTGTGCTTGAATTATAACAAAATCTATTGTTAGACTTATTAATAATACTATATAGAACGAACCTCATACTGCTATAATGTATATTCACTGGTCATGCTTTTTCCAAAACTGATACAATTGGTGTAAATGGACACAAGAAATATTATCTTTAACAAAATAATCATTTGCTTAAAAAACGTACACAAAATGTATCAGTTTTGTTATTTAGGTCACCAATTGGAGACGTATCATAGTTTAAACAATGCTGTATAATGCAAACAATGCTAAAAAGGGTATTAAACTCGGGACTGAAACCCCGGCTCTTTGGATTCAGCCATTGTTCACATCCAAAATTAGTATCCAATACTGTGCTTAAGGATATTCACAAATAAAACCATACCTCCGAATTATCTCTGGTGGCTATATACATACATTGTTACCTCTAGATATATAAACCTTCGCCCAGTTGAAAACAGTTGACATCAATACAGTGGTTTCCATTGACTGTGGTGATCAAGAATCCATGAGAATCCTTGTACAAAGATCAGAGTCCTGCGCCCAAATGTTTGAGTCCCGCGGTTTTAAGTGTATGTTAATAACGTAAACTGCCAATTATATATCTATAGACATTAATTAGTTTTTTATGAAAGGCTATTTGGTAACCAGTGTAACTTTTAATAGTCACTCAGTGAATCATATGTACAACTCTCTGTGTAGGAGACGTCATGGTGACAATAACAGACAAATACACAAGATCTTTCACAAATTGATATTAGACGCTTAATCACGAATATCGAATACTTTATTAATCATGTCTCATGAGTCGATACAAAGTTAGATCCTGAAATTTTGAGCTTTTTACAGGACAACATATATTTAATTGTAGATGTTTATAACTTATTTTTAAATGAGTCTTTTGTTTAATTGACTAATATAAGACATTTTCTGTTTTTACTAAATTATTTTTCATTTAACAAATGTAAAAATATTTCTATATTTCCACAACAACATCTCTTAATGGACCATCTCAAAATCTAACCGTCGAGCAGGCTACAGCGAGCAGTATGCAGACAATGTATGTATTAATTGCGCAACCCGGGGATATTGAAACGATATTGGTTGTTTATAATAAAGATGTGGGAGTTATTCCCCTTGTCCTGTATTTGAGTAGATGTCATGCGGTCTTGCTTTTCTAAAGCGACAAAAGATATAAACCGACGATGTAAGACATTCAAAGAACTCATGGAATGTATCATTACAATACAAACCTTCGCAGCGCAACATTGTAGGACGGTACGGTTCACCAATTGATAAACATTTTTTGCCATTGTAAATGTTATACATCATATTAATTATTTCTCAGTAACATTTCATCCCATTAGAAGAAATAAAATGTTGTGTATCGGTAAAATAGCCAAGCCTAACACAGACTAATAAGACACGATATAGAGTATGTTTTCACACCTATACGTTGATGCTCTGTATCGATGTGTAGGCTATCCCCTGGAGTGATAAGGCTATCAAAACCATCAGGATCCACTCGAGTAACGCAAGGCTCCGTCACTATTATCACCGTTCACATAACACACAACACTATTGCTAGGTAAGTATCCTAACTTACACTCAGTAATCTTGATCATGGTTGATTGAATCATTGCAATTATCTTTATTACTACATTATCTTATATCATTATATAATATGCATATCTTATGGAAGCTATATATATATATATATATCGGTTCTATTACTACTCGACACGTCACAATGATTCCATTTTGCTCTACAGGGAACTGAATACTTCTGTAGTAACCCTATCTCACCCATGATCTTTATTTATCATAGTACGCGTGTTAGATAAAGTACATATATTACATGCAGATGAGAAATAATGGCGAATACGGTGATTGTTCGAGAAACGGTTTTGAAGAGTTTTCCTGTAAATGCCGGGACGGGAAGGGCGGAATACGTAACAGAAGATACCAAAGGAGAACATTGGTAATGTGAAACCCATGCACTCATCAACTCGGTACGTTAGATACGCCGAGAAAGGATCTGAACGATTAGTGTTCGTTCATAGGTAGAGGGCACGTCTATCATTTTTTTTTCTAGTTTTATTTATTCAATTTTGTTTTTGATAGACGTGCTCACCACCTTTGGTACGTTGTTTGTTTTTAAACAACGCAACAAATGTCATTGTAACCCCACCCAAGAACCTCGTGTCACGATAGCGAGCCTATTACCGAGCGCCGGCGACGCGTGCAATTATGAACTATTTTTGTGCGCTTCAAAAGGCACGTTACCATGGTATAGAGTTAGTCCCACAACAGGGTATACCTACACTGTCTATACCAGTAGTCACTACACACTGTACTGTAGGCTGGCTGTCGGCTTTACTGAATAACTTTATACAGTGTGGAGAGCAAAGTAATGGCAAAATTATTAAAAACTCATATTACAGGGAAAATATATTCATATTTACTCTCTATTCCAACACAAAAGCTTGCGTTATAAATATAGAAGATGCAAATGTATGTATACGTTTAACGTCGGGTTAAAACAGGAAGAAAATGTTTTCCCATTTTTAGTATTTACCTTAATGACTTGAAAGATTTTTCATACTAGTTCAGAAAGTCAGAGTTTTTTTGTGTATGAAACATTTGAATGTATTTGTTATTTTGTTGACCCACTCATCACGTCAGATACAGCTGATGGTCTTAAAATGCTTTCTATAGTATTGAAAATATATGGTAACATCTGGAAGCTCAATGCTACCTTAGAGAAACCAAAGGTTCATTGATTCAGAGTCTCAAAAAGTAATATTGAAAAAGGAAAGCGTAAACGACAAAATGTCAGGTTTCTGTTCATTGATGAAGAATTCTATATATTTAATGGTTCGAATTATTTTATGACATCCGTTAAGTAACCTGACAATTCCTGCAATGGGAGGAAAATTGATAGAACTTTTCCAAATAACTTACATATGTAATGTAGAAAAATAAGAAACAGCGTTACCCATAGATCTGTAATAAAAACTATTTGACACTCTGGTATCACTAATCCAGTTATACTCTGCAGAGGAATGGAGCTTCGAAAATAATTCTGTCATGAAAAATATACAAACTCAATATTGAAAGAAAATTTCAAATGTTTGAAGTAGTATAGCGAGATTCATGGTCTACGGCGAAACAGGTCAAGTTTCGTTGAAAACAGAAGGTAAAATCCTAGTTGTAATGTTTTTGTATAAACTTATCACCTGCGGTAGCTTAATACATAATGTAATTTTACATAAAAGAAAAAGGTGACACAATATAGTGATTAGATATCATAGGATTAAGCTATGCTTAGCTACAGAGAAAGCAGCTCAGGCCATTGTATTAAATATCAAGCAAAACATTTAAGCCTTACCAGAGATGTGAAAAGTGAATTAAGTCTTACCAGAGATGTGAAAAGTGAATTAAGTCTTAGCAGAGATGTGAAAAGTGAATTAAATCTTAGCAGAGATGTGAAAAGTGAATTAAGTCTTAGCAGAGATGTGAAAAGTGAATTAAGTCTTAGCAGAGATGTGAAAAGTGATTCTGCTGTATCAAAAAGCTGAACAACTAAGTCTTACCATAGATGTGACAATTATTTTATTGTATAAAGCCGACCAATTTTGAAAACGTCTATAAATTGCATTGCTGCATTTTTTGTCAGTTTCAATTTTGTGTTAAACTTTTCATAAATACCGTCAGTATTAATCAAATATAAAAATATCCGAATTATGAATATGAATTATTTACATCAATACTATCAGTTAAGTAATTACAAGATCAATAACAAAATAGACCCGAATAATTAACCGGGAATTTATATCTTTAAACATAAAAACATCTGAACAATAACTAAATTACTGTTCCAAGCTTGAGCACACTACAAAGCTAGTATCCAAACGAAGAACTTTTATCTGCCATTTATGCGGCCTGTTTGACTAAAAGGTAGCATAGCAAGGTTAAACTTATACAGTATGTATTTTACAAGGCGTACATTACTTACCCTGGGCACTCTGATGAAGTTTCGCCCTGTATTCCGCGTATAACGAAAAAATATAATGTACATGAATAATGGGATTGGAGATTTTAGTGTTGTGTCAGCCTTTATTATTTATATACTGTATACCAGAAAAAATTCGCTGCAGTTTAATATTCACCTATTTCGCCCTATGTAACAAAGGCGAATTTATCATTACAGCGAATGTAGGAAAATAGCGTAATTTACATAGTACTTAAATGTGAAGGGCGAAATTAACACTGGGCGAAAATTGGTATCATGGGAGAAGGGCAATGATTGACTTGGTGACAATGTCCCGGTAAACAACCTATGTCATTGGTGTGTGACGTATTCGTTAATTTATTATTTAGGTTTTAGTCAATATTGTTACAATGCTGTTTTAGTCGTCTCCCTACGTCGTTAAGTCATTGACTAAGTCTAATTATTTATTCGTTTTCACTGGCAGAGTTTAATTTGAACTAAATTTATGTTTTATAAAATTGTTTCTTTCATTTCAGGTGGACGAGTTTCCTGCTTCTGACTATCAATAGAATGGGAACGCTTTTTCATGTATTGGTGCTGACATCACTGGTGGCCTTTTCTCATCAATCGGAACCAAATTTCTGGATGAAAAATCTTCTGGGATTCCAGTATAATTCAAGTCGGAAACACAATGACGAATGTTCCCTAGAATTCAGCACAGAAACGATAGCTCGAATAAATCAACTAAAAGCAGACTTACAACAAGGACACTACGCAGCAATTGTATTGCATGTGCAAATATATATGAATGAAACAGAAAGTGTTACTGACATTATTTGGACAATGACTTATCCAGAGGGGACGTTTGTTGCTGTAAACAGCACCGTTGTCATGACAGCGTTTCTTGCGGAATCGGCAAAGCGAGAACAAATCCAGGCGAACATGACATGTGGTGGTTTTCCTGATAATAATGGAATCATTGCCCTCGATTTTATTGGAGCTTTCCTTGATTTTCTGGGTGGTTCAAGTAAAAGTATGCCGGAAACCATGCCAGGAATTGGTGAACAAACATGCAACGGAACTTCAAATTGTACGGAAACGTGCGGGAAGGCGGTAGACGAACCGTTTTTGATCAACTTCACTTATTTCTGGGTTGTAATCATTCTACTCTACTGTCCAAATTTCGTGTATGTGTTTTACGACGCGCTTCATATCAAAGCGGATAACCTCACTCATTACCATAAAAAGGACTGGCCCTACAGTGGGAAAAGGTTCCTCCTGAAACTCTCATACTATGTCGTCACTCTGTTTCCATTCTTTCGGAAACATCTGAAAAAACGCCCAGTGACCAGGTCTATTTTGATTTTGTGGATTGTTAGTATCATAGTTCAAATAGTAAACGGTTGGCTTCAGATGTCCGAGTTATCCTCTAAGCTAGCGTATAAGGAAATTGATGGCTGGATGTATCGGGCTCTGTCACAAACAATGCGCTATCACATATATGGGATTATCGTTGTTGGTGGAATGATAATTACGCTTCTACTGCTACATATCATTCCAACAGGTACATTCCGGCGACTTCTGGATGATCCGGATATATACATGCTGTCCTCAACCGGAATCTCCAGAAAATTATTCGTAAAGAAAACAAAGTTGAAACAACTTCTGAAGCATGATAGTCGGAGGGAACTAACTGACGGTCAGACTATGATAGCCATGCACGCTGAGCGATTTATGCTTCTTTTTAATTTTCGGTTCTGGTTTCTGCTTCTGAAAGAATCGTTTTCAGGAATACAATTCCTGAAGACACATGCGTTTTTGAAATGTATGCTATTGATACCCGTTCTTATTTTATGTTTGTTATTTTTAACGCTGAATGTCGTATTGAACCTGCTCTGGGGGCTGTTTCCTCTATTAGGGTTATTTTTCTCGTGTTTGTCGTTGGTAAACTCCTGGTTAGAACTTTTCCGAATATGTTTCATTGCCCTGTATTTCGCTTTCTTTGTTCTCATTATCTGCGGCAATAATCTTGTGTTCGTCTTTAACATTATGATATACACAGCTCTTTATACTATTCCATGTTCCTCGTTTGATGTTTTATCGAAATATTTTATGATATTTCCTATTCTTTTATATTTGTTCTTTTACTGGACGAAATTTACAGGAGGCTATAGAACGATGTTGGAATATATATTTAAATCGAAATTAGAGGCTTACACTGACAAGGACATTGAACAGCAACCTGCCAGACATGTCCATGGTGGATCTATAGCGATCAATGAGAATCTGGACGAACCGGAAGTGACGCAGAATGTCTCGATCGAGGAGTTTGATTTTGTGTGCAGTGAATGTTCACCGGTCAGAAAGAAAATTTTAAATCTCCTGATAAAAACGATCTTGACCGGGATATTTATGCTCCTGACGTTAACAGTTCTATTTTTAAGAAGGGAGGTTGACAGTTTTTCTAAAGTGGCAAAAACAGTTGCTTTCGTCGTCATAATTATTTTACCCCGACTTATTGAGAAGTTTTGGTCGAGTGATGAAGAAGCAAAAAAGCAGGAATTAGAGGAAAAGATATCCGCGGCCGTTTGTCGGTGGAAATATGAAAAACGTGTGTGTGAGAAAGATGTACATGCCATAGAGTTAGATGGTGTGAGCTGCTCCTGGTGGAATTCATGTTGTAGTACCAGAAATAGGGAAGCCTCTGATAGAAACATACCTACCAGAGAACAGGAGTATGGTCTTAAAGAAGGCTCGCTTTCCATGCTCAGCACTGGTACCACTGCGGCGGAACAAACAATCTAATGTTACAGGTTTATTGATATAGTATAGCTTTTTATATTAACAAATTAATTTACTTAAACGCAGTTTACCTATCTAATTCTATTTCATATACTGATGCGGATGAACAATATACGATTTTAATGACCATAACATATTAACAGAGAAAATTATATTTACAGAATGTATTTCTTTGACGTGGATTTTGCTATATATCTACCATTATCATTAATGCTAATTTTAATGACTTACAAATGAAACATTACATTGCTTTACTGCTATCAATACATACATTTTATGTTGTGCTACTAGCAAGATTTATTGAAGGATTAACTTTTATGTTATGGCTCAATAACGTAAAAGAAATCATTCAAGTTTATACTTAAAATTTACTATAGTAATTCTAATATAAACACACAAAAGAAACAATTCAATATTTTCAAAAAATCACGCAACAAATGATGAAATAATCATAATCAATTTTAAAAATCAATACGTCGACCTCATAACGCTGTTTCCATCATCCAATCAAAATGCTTGTTACAGTTCTTTCGTCAGTTTTATTTTATTTAAGGGGCTGATAACATAAAATGAACCAATATAAATGTTTGTTTATGTTTGTTTCAAACAGAATTAAATTATTGTAATATCTCTAGATTCGCTTTAGTGCTGTTCACTTTTATCGGGCTGTGTTGAACCTCACACCAATGTGAGAATGTGTAGATGCCCAGTGCTGAGGCGCTGTGCTATTTAGAAGGTTTTTTTAGTATTTTTTATTTGTATGATTAAACATGACTTCCTTTAAAGGGATAACTTAGCGAGGTAACCTCTCTTTTATTAATCTTGTCACAAAACTCCTCATGATAATAAATTATAGTTTGATACTCCTTCTGAACAAATCATGTCGAAAAACGTGTTTAATCAGTAATGAAGACGTCCTTAGCTGTACAACCTTAGTGGCAGCTGTCGGTGAACTTCTAGCTAACAAAAATGCCTTTCCAGCGGAGGAGAGAAAATAAATTTGATATGCCGAACTTTTTTGGAACAATAATACAGGCATTTATTCTTAACCAATAGCATCTTTAAAGCAAAATCCCAATCATCGTTATAAATGAGTTACCTTTTTTACGTTGATATCGCACTTTGCACAGTTTGAAACTTTCGCTGAGGTACCCTCTTGAACAGAATTATCTCATGAAATTTATATATCATAATACTTATAATCCTTGCTTGCGATGTTTTGTGTATGCGTGAAATCAGACTCACTGACTTTTTGTTGTCAATCGACAGCGTCGTAATGTACATGTTTGCTTCTCACTGAAAGGCCTGGGTCTTGCGCTATTTCGATTGTAGCTATTCTTAACACCGTCTTTCCAAAAGAACTAAACTGACCACATTGGACGTTGGCTTCAGGTCAACTACGTAAAGGTTTGTTAGGAGAGCTATATATATCTACAGTATCTACTCATGTTTACAGTGTCATTTGACTAAATAGTTCCTTTAATAAACATTGCACTTGTGAAAAACTGATCTTGTGCTTCATAATTAGGGTTTTTCTCGGGAGTAAAGTTCTTTTAAAAATTAAAAAGAAATATCGTATAATTTGCTGTCAGGTTTTCAGACAATATTAACAGATGCAAGTAAGGTCGCCGCGCTGTCCATGTATACATAGGTCAATGTGGGCTTAATACTCGCAATCGATATATCTACATCACTGAGCTTTGGTAATGCTACATGCGCAGTGTTGCGAAAGGAATATGCGTATCTCTGAGATTTATAGTAATATGATTCAATGTGTTATGTAAACCTGTTACAATTTTTATCACATTATTTGTTTTTATCAATACTGTTAAATGTGTAGCGTTAGGCTGCTTTTTGTGTCGTGTAATATTATTCATGTGTTTTAATACCGTTACATTTTATTATAATACTGTTACATTTTATTATAATACTGTTACATGTTTACTGTAATACTATTGCTGGTATAAAGCATTATTGTTTTCTTTGTATTGTCACACTTTTACGTTTTTATTGTAATACTGTTTCATATTTTTGATATTTTTTTTGTGTGTGTTATTAAACTGCTTTATGAGTTATGTATTACTGTTACACATTTAACTATGATGCCGGTACTCTTATATACGTATTATGAATGTGTTTTGTTGCTATACTATGATTTACTGTACTTTACATGTCAGAGTTATTCCCCTTTTAACTGTGATTGACAGCAGAAGAACAAGAACTGTATCGATAGTGGAATTATTTAAAGCTGTGCTTTTACAATAATATTTCCGATTGCTCGTTAATCCGATTATGACTACAAGCTAATGCTCATTTCCATACATGCACACGCTTCATACACTAATACTATTCTGCTTGTAAAGATACATTTCCATGACTCCGAACTGTTCCCACCCAAACTGATTTTGTTTCACTTCAGCGATTTCACAGCCGTTGTCAGGAGCGATTTAATGTACTAATATATTTAACTCTGCCACTTAGGTCGGTAAATCGATTTCCCTTTGTCCCAAAGATAAATCTATATCGATTTCATGTCCAAGCGTAAGTATACCTCCAGAGACAAGTGTTTCAAGATGTGACACCTTGTCCGTTCGGAAGTCTGCTGCAATAGGTTTCTCAGAGAGATTTTTGTGGCTTTAGGAAACCTTCCAGACTGTGATTTCTTTCCCCACCCTCCCTCCCGCTACACAAACAGAATCGCTTCTACATATTTCCGGTGCAATACATGTTGTTGAGTCCCTGAGACTGATTGATTTGAAGTCAACAGACCTCCTTTGAGTTGAGTGTCCTTACGTAGTTTGAAAGGATAGATATTTTAAAACAAAGTGTGTTTCGTCCTCGATATATAGTTAACATAATTTACAGATTCCTCGATTCCTCGTTATATTTGTGTTCCTACCTTGTTCTATTTCCAAACGATGACTGGACACTCTGAGCGTGGAGATCGTCTTTATGAACTATTATACATTTGATGTCTTGAAATGTTTTTTCGAAATTGTATTAAATGTTTATCCAAATAACATTTCGGTTATGGAAATATATGACTCGGTAACAATCGAAAAGCCTTTGTTTGCTGATGGACAATGTAGATTTTACATTTATGATCAGCTGCAGTGTTTAAGAAATATTCCGGCCCATTGTGTCACACCGATCAGCTAAAATACCCCTTGTCAATTATCATTTTATTAACTGCACATGCACTTCGCTAATCACCTAATGTTGCTTAAAACTTGCAAATGATTATTTTGGTACTTACACAGATTAAATCCGTGTCGGATAACAAAACGTTTTACGCAAAAATCAAACTACAGTACGTTTGAATATATTTTGATTTTAGTATTTACATTCTTAAGGTAGAAAATAAATAAATTGATCGAGTGTTTGTTTTATTGTTTTGGGTTTAACGTCCTCGCAACAGTCCTAGTCATACGAGCACGGGTGTCTAGGGAGACACAACAGTCCTGGTGATACGAGCACGGGTGTCTAGGAAGAAACAACAGTCCTAGTCATACGAGCACGGGTGTCTAGGAAGACACAACAGTCCTGGTCATACGAGCAAGAGTGTCTAGGAAGACACAACAGTCCTAGTCATACGAGCACGGGAGTCTAGGAAGACACAACAGTCCTGGTCATACGAGCACGGGTGTCTAGGAAGACGCAACAGTCCTAGTCTTACGAGCACGGGTGTCTAGGGAGACACAACAGCCATAGTCATACAAGTACGGGTGTCTAGGGAGACACAACAGTCTTGGCCATACGAACACGGGTGTCTAGGGAGACACAACAGTCTTGGCCATACGAACACGGGTGTCTAGGGAGACACAACAGTCTTGGCCATACGAACACGGGTGTCTAGGGAGACACAACAGTCCTGGTCATACGAGCAAGGGTGTCTAGGAAGACACAACAGTCCTAGTCATACGAGCACGGGTGTCTAGGAAGACACAACAGTCCTGGTCATACGAGCAAGGGTGTCTAGGGAGACACAACAGTCCTGGTGATACGAGCACGGGTGTCTAGGGAGACACAACAGTCCTGATCATACGGACACGGGTGTCTAGGGAGACGCAACAGTCCTGGTCATACGAGCACGGGTGTCTAGGGAGACACAACAGTCCTGGCCATACGAGCACGGGTGTCTAGGGAGACACAACAGTCCTAGTCATGCGAGCACGGGTGTCTAGGGAGACACAACAGTCCTGGCCATACGAGCACGGGTGCCTAGGGAGACACAACAGTCCTGGTCATACGAGCACGGGTGCCTAGGGAGACACAACAGTCCTAGTCATGCGAGCACGGGTGTCTAGGGAGACACAACAGTCCTAGTCAGGCGAGCACGGGTGTCTAGGGAGACACAACAGTCCTAGTCAGGCGAGCACGGGTGTCTAGGGAGACACAACAGTCCTAGTCATGCGAGCACGGGTGTCTAGGGAGACCCAACAGTCCTGATCATACGGACACGGGTGTCTAGGGAGACGCAACAGTTCTGGTCATACGAGCACGGGTGTCTAGGGAGACACAAAAGTCCTGGTCATACGGGCACGGGTGTCTAGGGAGACACAACAGTCCTGATCATACGAGCACGGGTGTCTAGGGAGACACAACGGTCCTGGTCATACGAGCACGGGTGTCTAGGGAGACACAGCAGTCCTGGTCATACGAGCACAGGTGTCTAGGGAGACACAACAGACCTGGTCATACGAGCACGGGTGTCTAGGGAGACATAACAGTCCTGGCCATACGAGCACGGGTGTCTAGGGAGACACAACAGCCCTGGTCATACGGGCACGGGTGTCTAGGGAGACACAACAGTCCTGGTCATACGAGTACTGGTGTCTAGGGAGACACAACAGTCCTGGTCATACGAGTACTGGTGTCTAGGGAGACACAACAGTCCTGGTCATACGAACACGGGTGTCTAGGGAGACACAACAGTCCTGGCCATACGAGCACGGGTGCCTAGGGAGACACAACAGTCCTAGTCATGCGAACAGGGGTGTCTAGGGAGACACAACAGTCCTGGTCATACGAGCACGGGTGCCTAGGGAGACACAACAGTCCTGGTCATACGAGCACGGGTGTCTAGGGAGACACAACAGTCCTGGTCATACGAGCACGGGTGTCTAGGGAGACACAACAGTCCTGGTCATACGAGCACGGGTGTCTAGGGAGACACAACAGTCCTGGTCATACGAGCACGGGTGTCTAGGGAGACACAACAGTCCTGGTCATACGAGCACGGGTGTCTAGGGAGACACAACAGTCCTGGTCATACGAGCACGGGTGTCTAGGGAGACACAACAGTCCTGGTCATACGAGCACGGGTGTCTAGGGAGACACAACAGTCCTGGTCATACGAGCACGGGTGTCTAGGGAGACACAACAGTCCTGGTCATACGAGCACGGGTGTCTAGGGAGACACAACAGTCCTGGTCATACGAGCACGGGTGTCTAGGGAGACACAACAGTCCTGGTCATACGAGCACGGGTGTCTAGGGAGACACAACAGTCCTGGTCATACGAGCACGGGTGTCTAGGGAGACACAACAGTCCTGGTCATACGAGCACGGGTGTCTAGGGAGACACAACAGTCCTGGTCATACGAGCACGGGTGTCTAGGGAGACACAACAGTCCTGGTCATACGAGCACGGGTGTCTAGGGAGACACAACAGTCCTGGTCATACGAGCACGGGTGTCTAGGGAGACACAACAGTCCTGGTCATACGAGCACGGGTGTCTAGGGAGACACAACAGTCCTGGTCATACGAGCACGGGTGTCTAGGGAGACACAACAGTCCTGGTCATACGAGCACGGGTGTCTAGGGAGACACAACAGTCCTGGTCATACGAGCACGGGTGTCTAGGGAGACACAACAGTCCTGGTCATACGAGCACGGGTGTCTAGGGAGACACAACAGTCCTGGTCATACGAGCACGGGTGTCTAGGGAGACACAACAGTCCTGGTCATACGAGCACGGGTGTCTAGGGAGACACAACAGTCCTGGTCATACGAGCACGGGTGTCTAGGGAGACACAACAGTCCTGGTCATACGAGCACGGGTGTCTAGGGAGACACAACAGTCCTGGTCATACGAGCACGGGTGTCTAGGGAGACACAACAGTCCTGGTCATACGAGCACGGGTGTCTAGGGAGACACAACAGTCCTGGTCATACGAGCACGGGTGTCTAGGGAGACACAACAGTCCTGGTCATACGAGCACGGGTGTCTAGGGAGACACAACAGTCCTGGTCATACGAGCACGGGTGTCTAGGGAGACACAACAGTCCTGGTCATACGAGCACGGGTGTCTAGGGAGACACAACAGTCCTGGTCATACGAGCACGGGTGTCTAGGGAGACACAACAGTCCTGGTCATACGAGCACGGGTGTCTAGGGAGACACAACAGTCCTGGTCATACGAGCACGGGTGTCTAGGGAGACACAACAGTCCTGGTCATACGAGCACGGGTGTCTAGGGAGACACAACAGTCCTGGTCATACGAGCACGGGTGTCTAGGGAGACACAACAGTCCTGGTCATACGAGCACGGGTGTCTAGGGAGACACAACAGTCCTGGTCATACGAGCACGGGTGTCTAGGGAGACACAACAGTCCTGGTCATACGAGCACGGGTGTCTAGGGAGACACAACAGTCCTGGTCATACGAGCACGGGTGTCTAGGGAGACACAACAGTCCTGGTCATACGAGCACGGGTGTCTAGGGAGACACAACAGTCCTGGTCATACGAGCACGGGTGTCTAGGGAGACACAACAGTCCTGGTCATACGAGCACGGGTGTCTAGGGAGACACAACAGCCATAGTCATACAAGTACGGGTGTCTAGGGAGACACAACAGTCCTGGTCATACGAGCACGGGTGTCTAGGGAGACACAACAGTCCTAGTCATACGAGCACGGGTGTCTAGGGAGCTAGGGAGACACAACAGTCCTGGTCATATGAGCACGGGTGCCTAGGGAGATATCACCGGAAACAGGAAGTAGATGGAAATGAAAGTAGACAGGAAACGAAAATGAAAAAAGGATCGAGTGACTTTCGAAGGTCGTCCATTGACTGATGTCAGAATACACTACTTCAAAAGGTCTTAACGACGTAATATCTTTAGTAGCGTTGCTTTAGTCTGGGAATATCATCTGTCAATCAGTGGTTAGCATTCATATAAAACCAATCCAATCACAAGTTTATGCATTACACATTTGTTCATTATTAGATAAATAAGAAGTTACACCTAGAATAACATTTTGGCAGTATTCGTGTTATTGTGTTATCGACGAACCTAAAATACGGGCTTTGGTATGAAAAAAGTCTTATTTATTAAAGAATATAAAGTATAAATTGCATCTGCAATTCTGGTGTGCACAAAAAGGTTACTGCAGAAATGTTTTCATTTGTGTTCACCCATAGAAACAATCGATTATTCATTGCCCAATTGAATGGTTTTCCGAGACAGCTTGACAATGAGGCCACAACTATAAGCATAAGTCTTGCTCTTTCCACGCTACTTTTCATTCTGAATCGGACGATTGGGGTAACAGATACGGTTTTAAGCATTGGCCCTTCACAGAGTAAGGCTCTTAGGCTGCCAACGATTCGGGGACATACAGTTCCTACATAGCCCTTAAGTTAAACTACTTTACTAAAGTAGATATTTTAAAGGAACAAATCTCGCCATACAGTTTACGTAACTGCTCACGCATCACCGAGTTAGATATTTATCAACTTTGAGACCCCGCATATAAATTGTAAATTCTGAGGGTTTTTTTTATATCGAGATTGTCCTTAAAAAAACCTAGTGAGTGATTAAATCTTGCTTTTGCTCAAACCAGAACAGTTTTTTTCAAGTTGTATACAATTGTTATGTGATGGCTTCTTTGATATTTATACCAGTACGTTGTTCGCTACCCTTAACGTTTTTGTTGCTGGTTTTGTACAATTTTATCCCTCAAAATCACAATACCTAGTGTGGAATGATTAAGGATGTTTTTTTGTGTAGCACAACTAAGTGTCTCCGAGGAGACCTTATGGTGGTCACGAGACAGTCGTCCATCACTTATGACAATGGTCACTTATATCTACGTTCACCCTGCGGCGTGTATTGACCATAACAATGGACTACTGTTGTTTACCTCTGGCGTAAACACGATAATTACACTAAGTACGGCACATACACCTGGCGGGGAACGAGCACTTCACACAGTGTATGTGGAACCGCTGCTCCCTCCGTATTCGGCTTTCAGACTCCGTTTGGCGTTGTCAGTGTTTCCTCAATCGATAAAATAAACCAGCTGCTGAATCATCGACGACTCTGGGACTGCTCCTCTACACCTAGCCCCGGGACCGCCACACCTTGTCCACGTCCGTCATCTCCCCTCCGTTATCAGGTCTGTGACTCAGGTGGGAAGTAAAGCAGTGAAACCCAAATGGAACTTGTAGAGAAGGTCTATGACCAGCTGATGGGAACACTTCTGTTGTATAATTGGTGATGAACTATTGTTTCATTTCGTGGGAAGGATACCGTCGTACCCGTCAAACATTTAACGCACTGTACGTGTAGTATGATGTTTCCTACCATATTGAGCTCGCGTACACCTCTTGGTGCGTCAAACTCGAGAGGGAGGCGCTTGTTATTGATTTTCCAGAGGAAATGCTAAGAACCAAAATCTCACTTGGTGGCCACCATCTGTAAGAGAGTCACTCAGCAACCGTGTGGGAGCGCACACTGACGGACGTGTGGATTCTTACTTCTATCTTAAAAGGATTTTTCACGAGGACGACACACATGCGCGTGTGGAGTGACGTGGGACATTCGGTAAGTTTTCAATAATAGTGACATTTTACTGAGGGAAATTATCCTTGTGGTGTTGATGGATAATATTATGTTAAAATGTGTATGTTGACTTCAATGGTTACCAAATAACCTCCGAAACTCACCACTATCGATAACTGACAGTTAGAGCGGATGAATACTGAATTTTAGTCTAAAACTTATCCTTAAATTGATGAAGAATAAAGTAAAAACTTTGTATGTATCTGTTTGGGTTTTAGCTGTTACTTCATATGTATAATGTGATATATGTAAAACGTTATAAGGGCCTAGATACTGTCAATCATTCGTTATTGGGGAATTCTTTATTTTCGAAATTAATAGTAGATCTGCTTCAGATCACTTATCCGAGAGGATTTCATATTTTTGAATATGACCATAATCGAAACACAAACGACACCTTGAGCTAACAGGTAGAACAGAGACATTTTATATATACATATCCCTTATATATCATGTGTATTTATCATTAAAATATATTTGGCCACAACACTTACGACTAGGAACTCAAACGAAGGTTTAAAAACCAGGATGAGAAACGTATATGCAGCCTATGGAAGGTTATCCGACTATATGTGCAGACTATCATATTTGAAGAAGTCATCTTCAGCCTGTTTACACATTTAAATGTATCGTCAATAGACTAAGCTTTGGCCGACAATATCCTATTTCCGTTTTCATTTGAAACAGGAAGCAATATGATAGGATGTCTACAGTTTTCTGTACGCATCGTATACCGTAACACGCAAAACGACTTATATCAAATGATTGCTATACCACTGGTGGACCCTTACCGTGTATTTTTTTCATTTTTTCGTTTAATTTTCAAAAATCGTTTAGTTGTTCTCTTTTTGTGTGTATTTTTTGGATTATAGTTTATATTTGACGAGTCACCGTTTATTGTTTAAACCGACGTTTATTCTTCGCAGACTTGTGTTTAGTTTTGAGTATAACAGTTTGTTTT